ATTCCAGGCGAGAAAAGCCTGGTCTGCTGGGGGAGGGGGGCACTAGCTGTGTCCCCCTCCCCCAGCAGACCAGGGAGACGGGGAGCAAAGCCTCGGAGGACGCCGGCAGTGGGACAGCCGCGGTGCGTCTGGGCTGTCCCACTGCCCGCGTCTTCCACAGCTTTGCTCTGCGTCTCCCTGGTCTGCTGGGAGCTCCCCGCCAGCAGACCAGGGAGACATGGAGCAGCTTTTCTCGCCCCAGAGGACGCGGGCGGTGGGACCGCGGCGTATCTGGGCGTCCCGCCGCTCGCGTCCTCTGCCCCGTTCGTAACTGCGGATCTGACATAAGTCGGATCCGCATAACTTGGGGACTGACAGTATTCATCCTTTGTAATTTGTCCTGGTTTCCACTTTTTATATGACTCCTTTTTTATGTTTAGATCATGCAAGATCTGCTGGTTAAGCCAAAACGGTCTTTTGCCATACTTTCTATCTTTCTTATGCAGTGGAATAGCTTGCTTTTGGGCCCTTAATAATGTCTCTTTAAAAAACAGCCAACTCTCTTCAGTTGTTTTTCCCCTTAGTCTTGCTTCCCATGGGACCTTACCTACCAGCTCTCTGAGCTTACCAAAATCTGCCTTCCTGAAATCCATTGTCTCTAATTTGCTGTTCTCTTTTCTACCATACCTTAAAATCATGAACTCTGTGATTTCATGATCACTTTCACCCAAGCTGCCTTCCACTTTCAAATTCTGAACAAGTTCCTCCCTATTTGTTAAAATCAAATCTAGAACAGCTTCCCCCCAAGTAGCTTTTTCAATCTGCTGAAATAAAAAGTTTTCTTCAATGCAGTCCAAGAATTTATTGGATAGTCTGGGCCCCGCTGTGTTAGTTTCCCAACATATGTCTGGATAGTTGAAGTCCCCCATCACCACCAAATCCTGCGCTTTGGATGATTTTGTTAGTTGTTTAAAAAAAGCCTCATCCACCTCTTCCGCCTGGGTAGGTGGCCTGTAGTAGACCCCTAGCATGATATCACCCTTGTTTTTCACCCCTTTTAGCGTAACCCAGAAACTCTCAACCCATCAGTCTTTTATGTCCATCTCTTCCACAGTCCAAGTATGTACATTTTTAATATATAAGGCAATACCTCCTCCCTTTTTTCCCCGCCTGTCCTTCCTGAGTAAGCTGTACCCTTCTATACCCATATTCCAATCGTGCATATTACCTCACCAAGTCTCTGTGATGCCAACGATGTCATAGCTGTATTTATTTATTAGCACTTCCAGTTCTTCCTGCTTATTACCCATATTTCTTGCATTTGTATATAGGTATCTAAGATACTTATTTGATCTTCCCTCCCAGTTCTGCCTTGTCCCTCCTTTCTCGCTGTTATTATAGCCCACATTCCCTCCCATCTCCAACCCATCTCCCAGGTCTCCATGTTCTTCACTTACCCATGGTCTTTGGTCACCTGTCCCCGTCAAACCTAGTTTAAAGCCCTCCTCACTAGGTTTGCCAGTCTGTATCCAAATACGGTCTTCCCCTTCCTCGAAAGGGGAACACCTTCCTGGAATATCATCCCGTGGTTGAGGAAGCCAAAGCCCTCCTGATGACACTATCTTCGCAGGCAGGCATTTACCTCCAGGATGCACCTGTCTCTGCCTGGGCCCCAACCTTTGACAGGAAGGATTAAAGAGAATACCTCCTGCGCTCCAAACTCCTTCATCCGTACTCCCAGAACCTTGTAGTCACTCTTGATCCACTCAGTGTCACACCTCGCAGTATCATTGGATCCACATGGATGAGTAGCATGGGGTAGTAGTCAGAGGGCTGGATAATCCTCGACAATGACTCCATAACATCTCGGATATGGGCTCCCAGCAGGCAGCATACCTCCCGAGATGACATGTCAGGGCAACAGATGGATGCCTCCACCCCCCTCAGAAGAATCTCCGACCACCACTACCCTATGTTTCCTCCTCACAGTGGTGACAGCAGACCTCCCAGCCTTGGGGGTACGAGGCTTCTTCTCCTCTGTTGTAGGGGATGATTTCTTATCTCCTGTATCAAGAAGAGCATGATGGTTTCCTAGTACCACGGTGGGAGAGTTCGGAGCTGGGTGAAGCACTGCCTGCTGCCAGAAGTAACCAGCTGCCAGTGCCACCGTGAGCCATCTCCTCCTCCACCAGTAATGTGTCCGCAATCCTGTGTTCTGGGACAGCTACCTCAGCTGTCTCCACATGACCACTGTTCAGGAATTGCTTGTGGATTTGGATGCTCCTTAACCTAGCCACCTCCTCCTGTAGCTCTTCCACTTTCTGCCTGAGAGATTGCACCAGCAGGCACCTTTCACAGTGGATGGTCCCCCCAGCCTGGATATCAGCAAGTGGTAATTGGAAGCCACAGTACCTGCAAAACCACACTAGGATGTGGGTAGAGGCATCCATGCACAGGTGGTCTGTCTGGCTACAGGTGCAGGTGGAGGACACAGAAGCAGTGCTGGCACAAGTGTTGCGGGTCTTCCTGATCATCGTAGGCCTCCCTCTATCAAACTCCCTCTTAAACTCCCCTGTCTGCAGCCCCCTAGTCGCTCTGCCTCTGGCTTTTAAAGCCTGCTCACCTAGGTGAGGCCTACCCCCTTGTGAGTCACACAGAGGAAGGCTGATCAAAGTCAATCAAGGGAACAAAGGTCAGGCACTCAGTCCCGACAGCCACAGCAACTGAAACTGAAGTCACCTGAAATCAGAATCAAAATTCAAACAGTCGAGCAAACTCTCTCATACCAAAAGCTAGTACTCTCACACTCACCTGGTAGCCTGTTGAGCGGCGGGCTCTCTTAAACTCCCTGTCTGCAGCCCCCTGTCTGCTTCACTTCCCCTGGAATTGTATACTTCCAGTTCCAAGGGAGATATGTAGATGACTGGTCAGCTAGTAATGTGGAGGTTCTATTGTACTAAAATATTCCTATTTTCTGTGTAAACTTTATGATATAATGTTTGTCTTTTACCTCCACAGCTTAATCTTTTTTTTTTATTATAGCCAGGCAGTCCACTACAGGCAGTCCCCGGGTTACGTACAAGATAGGGACTGTAGGTTTGTTCTTAAGTTGAATCTGTATGTAAGTCGGAACTGGTGTCCAGATTCAGCCGCTGCTGAAACTGACCAGCGGCTGAGCTTAGTTCGAATTAGTGCTGCAGTGTAGACATACCCTGACAGTAGGAAGTCAGTGCTTTTGCGGAAATTCAAGCGGCCAGTGTAGACAGCTGGCAAGTTTTTCCGGAAAAGCGGCTGATTTTCCGGAAAAACTGGCCAGTCTAGACACAGCCATGTAGTTTGGCTCTTTGGTTTGAAAAAGTCGCTGACCCCTGTTCTAGCTAGTTGTTCAATGTGCTTGCTAACTGACTGTTCCCCTGCTGCAAATATGTGGGATGGGAACTAGGGAGCATGACTCTGCATACTCGTGCAGCAAATCTTTAGTTATTGGCTCTAATGAATTTTCTCTGTTTATCTTCCTCAGATGAAAGTAATTCTTCTGCCAGAGTCAGCAAGTGATCTCTCCAGCTGGGGGCAGGGAGTGAAGCTAGAAACATGAAAACTGTTAAATGCAAGTTTGGGAGTTACCTTTCCACAGTTAGTGCTCAAAAGACAGCGGGTGCTTTCTAACATGGTGGGATGGTTAATTTTTTAATAAGTTTGGCTTCTGGGCAGATCTTGCCCCACATTCAGCAAAACTACTCAAAAATAGGACAGGGGCCACAAAAGTGTTCAGAGGAACAGGTTACAGATTACTTGGAAATAAACTGTCTGCTGCGCTTCTTGTTTTGGTCTGTGTAGAGAATGGTGATGATCCCTGAGTTTGTTTTTTTAAAATTTTGCTGGCTATTCAGCTTCGGAATCCAGGTCTCATCTGTCTTCTTTTTCCTGAGAGGATTCTGCTATCTCTGCTACTAAGTTTGTGAAGCCTTGGTAACTGAAAAGGAGTAGAGAGTTCAGTAAAATTATATAGTGTAAATACACCACAACAGCTGGGAGGAAGGGTATGTCTGTTAGTGATTCAAAGCCTCACCCCTTTCATTGGGAGCTGGAAAGGCTCCTACTTTGAGTCTGCTGTGGGAAAACGTAGCATGTGACAAAATTAGGGAAGACCAAACCAGATAGTCCTGATAGCTTGAAGGTAAAGACAGGTGAAGTTTTCAAAAAACCTTTTATGCTCAGAATGGAAATAAAAAGGGACAATTCCTTCCCCCTTTTTTTGTAAGTGAGATAGTGACAATCCAATGCAGCTGATCCTCCCCCCTGCTTCCTCTGGCAGCTTTCCACACAGGGTGCATCTACACAGCACCCTTACCTTGGAAAAAGCTCCTCAATTCCTTATTTTGAGGTTATTTCAAAAGAAAGCGCTATTTTGACAAATCCCTTAACCCTTGTGGAATGAGGGTGACAGGGATGCTGGAATAGCAAGCCTATTGGAAATAACGGGCGTGTTTAAAGACACGGAATTGCTATTTCCAGATACTTCCGGTATCCTGAACTAGCCCCGCTGTTTAGACGTAGCCACAGACACAAAGCACTTCTTTCTCTGGGATTTGGGAAATTGGGGTTTATTTTGTGGCTCTGCCCCAGACTCCCTGTGTGATCTTTGTACTGTGCTCTGTCTTAGTTTTGCCACTTGTAAAATGTGGATACTGGCTTTTCATCTGTTTGGTTAGAATTAGATTGTGAACTCTTTGGGGGTAGGGACTGTCTCTTACTATGATGTGTACAGTGTCTAGCACAATGGGCCTCATTTGATCTTGGCTGGGGTCTTTAGACTCCACTGCAAGTCAAATAAAAACACAGTTTGTTTTAAAGATGTCTTTACCATTGCTTCTGTTCACTAGGGCTACGTCTACATTGGCATCCCTTTTCAGAAAAGGGATGCTAATGTGACGAGTTGGAATTGCAAATCCGTGGGGGATTTAAATATCCCCCGCGGCATTTGCATTTACATGGCTGCTGCTTTTTTCCAGCTTGGAGATAAGCTGGAGAAAAGCGCCAGTCTAGATGCGATTCTCTGGAAAATAAGCCCTTTTCCGGAGGATTTCTTATTCCTACTTTCAAGCAGCAGCACCTCCAGGCACAGGAATACACATTGGTGGGGAGGCCTCAGCATGAGCCTTTGCCCTTGTAAAGCAGGACCATCTGGTGCTGAGCAGCTGGCCTTCTTTCCTGCAAGCATTTGCTACCGTTTTTGACAACTCACATGAAGTTCACGCAATGGAGACTGCCATATGTGTTTTCAAGCAAACCTGGGGGGTCAGCCCCTTCCTTGTTCAGAGGCTTGGCTGAAGACCTCTCCTGGAATGATGTCAGTTGTGATTCAGTCTCTGCAAGGGATTCAAGACCAGGCAGGCACGGGTCAGCTCCCCTGCAAGTGGAGGGTTCCAATTAGCCAAGGAGACACACCTGGCTTCATGAATGACAAATGAACACAGGAAAACACTGCACTTGCCCGCAAACTCAAAGGCTACGTCTACACGGGCAGCTTCTTGCACAAGAACTCTTTTGCGGAAGAGTTCTTGTGCAAAAACTTCCACGAGAGAGCATCTACACTAGCATGTGCTTTTGTGCAAGAGACGTGCATATGCGCAAGAGCATCCGTGCCAGTGTAGACATTCTCTTCTGCAAGAAAGCTCTGATGGCCATTTTAACTATAGGGGCTTCTTGTGCAAGAAATTCATGTTGCCTGTCTACACTGGCTTCTTTTGGAAGAGCTCTTGTGCAGGAGGGCTTCTTCCTGAGAGGGAGCGTCAGAGTTCTCGCGCAAGAAGATGTATACCCCACATTAAAAAACATTGCCAGCAGATCCAGAGATGTCATTATTCCCCTATATTTGGCTTTGGTGAGGCCACAGCTGGAGTATTGTGTCCAGTTCAGGGCACCCCACTACAAAAAGGATGTGGACGCATTGGAGAGGGTCCAGCAGAGGGCAACCAAAATGATTAGGGGGCTGGAGCATATGACTTATGAGGAGAGGCTGAGGGAGTTGGGTCTGTTTAGTCTGCAGAAGCGAAGAGTGAGGGGGGATTTGATAGCAGCCTTCAACTTCCTGAAGGGAGGTTCCAAAGAGGATGGAGAGAGGCTGTTCTCAGTAGTGACAGATGCAGAACAAGGAGCAATGGTCTCAAGTTGTGGTGGGAGAGGTCCAGGTTGGATATTAGGAAAAACTATTTCCCTAGGAGGGTGGTGAAGCACTGGAATGGGTTCCCTAGGGAAGTAGTGGAGTCTCCATCCCTAGAGGTGCCACCATAGAGGTCCTGGATTTCAGTCTCTTTCCTAGCAGCCTAAATTTGGCCGCCAGGACATCTCTCCTACCCTTCCCTATGTCGATTCTACCTACATGTACCACGACCACCGGCTCCTCCCCAGCACTACACATAAGTCTATCTAGATGCCTTGAGAGATCCGCAACCTTCGCACCAGGCAGGCAAGTGACCATACGGTTCTCCCGGTCATCACAAACCCAACTATCTATGTTTCTAACGATTGAATCACCCATAGACTCATAGACTCATAGACTTTAAGGTCAGAAGGGACCATTATGATCACCTAGTCTGACCCCCTGCACAGTGCAGGCCACAGAATCTCAACCACCCCTCTTAGAATAATCCTCTCACCTATATC